ACCCAAGGATAGTAGGAGGGCAATATCTTTCTTTCGGTATCTTAAATTAATTCGCCTCAAACGAATGGGCGTTGCTTCGCGCACCCCCACAATTGCTTAACGTAACCATGAGTGGACAAATTTGGCCTTCTTAATTATTAATTAAAATTAAGTATAATTAAAACGTTAATTGAATTTGCTTTGCGAACCTCCGGCTCCATGACTCCATCTTGTCCATATCAAATTTACATTAAATATACATCCAATAAAATGCTGCCATGTGGCAAGAAATTCTTTTTTTATTTATAAAATGTCATAACTTTTTCATTTTTGCTCCGGCTTTTATAAAAATTATACCAAATTAAATATCTTTTTATGATCTTTCATATGACACCAATATTATATATGTAAATTTCAAAAAAAAAAAAACTGGTCAATTCAGAAGTTTCAATTCTGGCCTGATCTGATCTAGTTTCATACATATGTTAGTAATATCTAAGTTCGATATAGTATAGGATTATATGAGACTAAAACGAGTAGTTCAATTGAAAATATCAGTTATACTATACAAGTTTAAACATGATCAAAAAAATTAATTATGCTTATTTATATTTAAAATTATGGATAAATAAAAAATATACTAAACTAACATTCTAAATTATTTGTAGGAGCCATTAATGTATAAAAAGAAAATTGTAATTTGAGGTGTATTTATTAGTTTGATAAAATTAATTATTGGGTGACATTAATTTATTATTATAATACAAATAAGAAAGTTTTTAATTGAATTAAAATTTACTGGTCTAATCCAATACTACAATCTGGTATAATCTTATCTTATTTGTACTAGTAAATTTGTCTAGTCTAGTCTGAACTCATCTGCCCTATTAGATCTATGTTTATGTGCGGGTGTTTTTTCTATCTTTGTTATACAACTGTTGAAATATGATTTGGTTTGATTTGGGATAAAAAAACATTTCAATTAAATAAAAAAATCTAGATACTGTCATATCGTAGTTATATGATAATAGAATTAAAAAACAATATTATTATTCAGTATAAAGATAAACGAAAAAGTATACACTCCCTCTGTCCCAATTTTTTTTGCAAAATCAATATTTTTTGGTCAATAAATAATAAAAGCCAATACTCCCTATCGATAATAAATACAATTTTTAATTATTAAAATTTACATATTAAAATCGCACACAATTTTTTTTACATATTAAAATTTACATTTCAAAAACTACATTAAAATTATTTAAAGTCACAAACTTCAAATTAAAATATACTCCCTCCGATTCAAAAACAAGTTCCACATTTGACTTCACACATATTGAGAAAAGAAAATTGACTTTATTGTGTAGTGCACTGTTTGGCACTATTTGGCACTGTTTGGACACTGTTTGGCACTGTTTGACACTGTTTGAAACTTTTTTGATGTAGATAATTTGCCAAATAAGGAAATGTTTGAAAGTGGAACTTAATTTTGGAACTGCCCGAAAAGGAAAGGTGGAACTTGTTTTTGAATCAGAGGGAGTAATTAAAAATTGACATCCTAATTAAGTGAATACAATGAAATTGTTTGACCAAGAAATGTCAAATTTGCAAATCAATTTGGGACTTATGTAGTATATGGCCATCAAAATATTATTGATTACTGTATACGACAAACTTAATGAACTTCCTCACAAAGAAGAACTAGGACACAGATAGTAGGGCAAATGAGTACCTCATAAGTGTGAAAAGGGAAAACTGTCAAATAAGTCCTCGAACTTTCAAAAAAAGGTCAAATAAGTCCTTATACAGGAGGCTCTGTCCGGCTGTCGCGATTTGGGGTGGTTCCCGGTGGAACTTTTTTATGAATTTTTTTGAGCATCTTATTCATCAAATCTAGTTTACTCATACAAAATGTCAGCTAAAACTTCAATCAGGAACGCATTCAAATTAAGTCTTGAAGACAATTGTGCAGTTAAATGAGCAATTATCTTCAAGAATTAATTTGGATGAGTTCTCGATTGAAGTTTTAATTGAAATTTGGTATGAGTAAACTAGACTTGATGAATAAGATGCTAAAAAATTTTCATAAAAAAATTCCACCGGGAACCACCCTAAATCGCGACGGCCGGACAGAGTATCCTATATAAGGACTTATTTGACTTTTTTATGAAAGTTCGAGAACCTATTTGACAGTTTTCCCATGTGAAAATTAAGAGTACTATTTTTTTGAATTATTTTCAGATTCATCCTCAATTATATAACAAGATTATAATAATTATAAAAACATTAGTAATGAGTTGTAAATATTTATATGACAGTTAGAAAGCGTAATCCTCATTCTATTAGGAATTTAGGTTTATTTGGAAACATGTAACACACAATTTTGGAAACATAAAAACCTGGAGTAATTTTATTCTTGACATAGCATAGGTGGTGCGCCTAGCCATTTTAGAATTTAGTTGGGGCGTGTAATTGATTCATCAGGGACATAATTGACATCTTTGTCAACAAATTGGTGCACCTAGCCATTTTAGAGGGAATTGGATCCTCTGCCTTAAGGCAGAGTGCCTTGCTTAAATCAATGGCAGGAATTAAAACTCACACCTCGAGATTGGTGTAAAAAGTGGGACCCTTCATCTCCAACCATCAGTTTTTTGATCTGAGGGCTTAAAATAGCCAGGCACCCTCCTAGTCTGCTTAATCCAGGAAGAGATGCCGGATCCATTTTAGAGGCACGCGGAGCACAAGCTCGAATAAATAAACGTTTGTTCCAGTAATAGGAAACTTGATGTTGGCATCCGGGCCATTATGACTCAAAGATCGTAAAATCATTATTTATTCAATATAAAAATGGAAAATATATCATTCAATTTAAAATGGCCATAAAAAAATACTTGCCATGCTTGAGTGTGAGAACTCTTTATCACACAATTAGTCCAATTTCTTTTTATTCATAGGAAATGAAACGTAAGTCATTCATGTTCCAAGAGACATATAATAGATATGCCGTATTCAAGAGCTTTGCAGTGTTATTTAATAATTGGTGATTAGTTCTCCCAAAAAAATGATATTTATAATTAAATATACTTTCTATAAAAAATACAGATCTACAGATCAAAAGAACATTAGCATAAACCATAAATAGAAGAAAACATACCCTTATTTATGATTAGTGCGAATTATTTTCAGTTAGGCAGACAACTTTATAAAATAATCATCTAACCATTTAAAAGCTTTTTTTACAAACTACTACGTAATACTTTTAATATGTTTTGTAGTATGGTTTATCATTCAACTTAGCAATACCTAAGAAGTAATATCTGATAGGTGGCTAGAATTAGGGGTAGGGTTGGACCGGTTCCGGTTCGGGCCCGGTTCGGGCCTGGGCCCGGCCGGGCCTCGGTTCAGAAAAAGGAGGCCCGAGCCCGAACCGGTGGTGGGCGGTTCCAGTTCCGGTTCCGGGCCAGAACCGGGCCGGGCCGGGCCACCCGGAATGTTTTTTTTTTTCTTCTTCTTCTTCTTCTTCTCTTATTTAACCCCCTACCCCTCCCCCTCCACCCCAAACCACCTCAAATGGCCCAAAATACCTAATCCAACCCAAAACTTAAAAAAATTTCAAAAAAAAAAAAAAAAAATTAAATTCCGGCCCGAACCGGGCCCGGCCCGGCCGGGCCGGTTCACTAAACTGGAAGCCCGGGCCCGGACCGGTATACCACCGGGCCTGGAGGCCCGAACCGGAACCGAACCGGTTGACCGGGCCGGTCCGGGCCCGCACAGTAGCGGGCCGGTCCGGTTCCGGGCCGGTTGGCCCGGCCCGAGTCCATCCCTAATTAGGGGTAGGAAAAACCGAACTGAAACCTGAAAACCGACCCTGGCCCGGCCCGAATTATGATATCGGTTCGGGCTTTTTCTTTTTGACCGGCCCGAATAAAAAAAACCGGACCGAACCCGAAATTTCGGGTTATTTAACGGGCCCTAAAATCTATTACCTAGCCCGGACCGATAAAAACCCGAAAACAATTAACTTTAATATAAAATCAATATAACATACCAATGTAATTTATAAATTAATTCCTAATATATGATTATAATTATGGTGGACGAAAAAATGACTTAATAACTATTAGTTACTAACTTACTACAAATATATTCAATTTATTTACCGTGATGACTATGAAAACATATTTATAATAACTTAGTTACATTTTTATCCATAAATTTTATTTCGTGACATTTTTAGAAAACCTATATTATTTATTTTTATGCATCTTAAACGAAATATCATGATGTTTGAATTCTTGGTGATTCTGGAGACTCATTTTTGTGTTATTATTTGCGGTTTGTACTTTTGATTAATTTTATTTGAAAATAAATTTTAAAATATAAAAGAAAAATGAGATGAATTCACATTCGGGCTTTAACCGACCCAACCCGAACCTGGACCGTACCCGGGCTACAAAAAAACTGACTCGGACCGAATATAGTGGGCTTTTTTCCGGTCCCTAAATTTTCATAACCCGAGACCTTACGGGTAATTTCCGGGTTTAACAAAAATCCGACCCGGACCGATCCCACCCCTAGCTAGAATGGCTGGTAAGATGGATCGGAGTAGGTTCTAGGCTTGAAAGAATGAATTGCACATTCAGGTCTGGATATAGTGCCCTTTGATGCAGGTCATGCAGCACACGTTTCTGCTCTCCGACTGCTACGTGCTTCAACAATAGACGTGGATAGCCTTGTTGGCAGGCAAGGCCGCAAGGGAGTTGCGGTGGGGAGGTGAGCGGCATACCTGTAGATGACGGCTAACGGAGTTCCAAGAGTTCCGTGGACCCGGCCAGGCAGCCAGCACGGTTGGTGGCCATGTTAACGACGATGCTGGTGTGGTAATCTGCCGGTGCCGGTTGACTGAAGAAGACAAAGGCGGCCGACACATTCTAAGGCGAGAGAAAAGAGATGATAGAGAGAATAGGGTTACAAGTACAGGCCAAGAGGCCCAAAATACATCGTTTATATAGAAATGACCCCAATACATATTGTATATATACGATAGCACACTACATAGAATTTCCTTCAACATTTTTATTACTTTTGGATTTAGAGCAAAACCCCAAATGCACACTCGCAGAAGTAGATGTTCCCAACACCCTCATGGAGAGGTACTACCTGTCTACCTGAAATTATTGATCACCACAAAGTGAGCACAGCCCGTTCCGTAAAAACAAAAACATATATACTCAGAATTCAAGACAAAATAAAAAAAAATTGCATCAAGAAACACTTATGCCCCAATGCAATGTTACACCACATATTACGAGAGCCTATCAGAGTGGAGTAACTATCACTATACAAAGGACAAATACATCCTGCGCTGGAAGTGTATTACTTACAAAGTAGCAAGTAAATACCAGGGGTGCAGTAAAAAGAAACCAAAGAACAGACTTGTTAGCAATGAAATACCATGCAATTTGGGTCATAGAAACAAGTGTATACTTGCTTTCAGGCTAAAGGAGTATAAAACGATGCAAAACATTCGCACTTGGCCAAAATTTTGTTTCTTGACAATGCAAAAACCCAATAATAACAAGGCCCAATAATAAAAAGGTCGCAAGTAGTAACATACTTATTGTAGGCTTTCAGCCCATGACATTGGCTTAATTTGAAAGGATCAGGCACTCTCCGATAAACGATGGCCTTAACAGGTACTAAAGGATTGCCATCTGCTTCCAGATCTTTGACAAAAAAATCAAGGTAATACGAATGACCATTTTCAACAAATTGGCGCCTCACCCTCTCCACGCTGGCAAACTCGCAACACTTTTCAGGCTACAGATAATAGCATTTAAAATAGTTACATATAGAAGATCTGGACAAACACATAATATATTTGGCTCAGAAAAATGATGATGAATTGCATACACGGTATTTATGGTGCTCATCAACAACCCAATTGCACATAGAGAGGATGGTATCATATTCTTTAGCATCCTTAGCTTTGAGTCCTTCAAGTTTAACAGGATGCACAGCGCCTGGGCGCCTGCTCAAAAGCCAATCTCGATATCTTCGTCTCTAAAACACGGGAGAAAAGAAGATTTCAATGTATAACCATGAAAATCACGATAATACTTGGGTTTTAGCCCCTGGTGAAGGAATTGCAAACATGATAAAAATTTATATGATGTTGAATCGCGTCTAAAAAATAAAAATGTGACGTACTTTTTCGGACCACCTCTTCAGCATTTTCTCCAGAGCTTCTTGTGTCAAAACATCAGTTAGCGTCCGACCCTCTAACACGCGTTTAAAGCGTTCATACTTTGCGGGAAGCACAAGAGTCCTCCAAGTCGACTAAAAAAACAATGACGACGACAAAAAACAATTACAAATTAGTTAACCCTAAAATAAATCATACAGAAATTTGAAATCGAATCCAATTGGAATAACCGACATTCGAATGCCAAAAAGAAGATCTGGTGGGAGAATCGTTACGATCATATTGAATCACAGCTTATAATCGTACCTCGTCGCTGTCGGAAACCGAATTCGTCCCTCGTTCGGTAGACTGGGAAGTCCCCATTCCGGATTCCAGTTTGTCGAACACTGCTCTGCCATGGGGGGAGACCTTGAACACGATATCGGCCATTAGAGTTGCTCCGCTCGAAGACGTCTTTCCCTGTTCGCGTAACTGGTTTGAGCGTGAGAATTAGATTATTCAAAGGTCCTTCTCTACGCACCGCCTTTGTGAGGGAATGACGGATCAGGTTAAGTGCGAGTGTTTCCAGGAAATGTATATTCGTTTTTATTTATGGACCGAAAAGTGTAGAATCTATTTATATATAAGAAAAGAATAGGCTGTGCTAAGTACATTTTTGCCCTCAAAAATCCAACGTGTCCTGCAGCCCTCAATTTGCTCTTCTCCTCTCGATGATCCATGTGGCTCTCTCTTCAAGAATAACAAAACAACACCGATTAAAAATTCATCGCCTGCTGCTCCTTCGCCACTTTCTTCTCCTATAATTCCTCGCCAGTTTTTTGGGATATACATCAACGCCACTTCCCTGAGCGGTTGAGCCTATGTGTTTTCTGCTCCGAAAAATCATGAACTAATTGTGTGAAATTGCGAGATATCACAAGAGCTTTCCATGTACAACACATCTCTCATCTACTCCCTCTTCATCCACGAGATTACCGTGCGGTTGAAAGATCTAAAAATACATTCTACTACGTTTGTAATTGAAATAGGCCTTTGTGCTATATATTGCCTCTGTAATAAAATACAAGTATGTTACCTCTTCTACTCCTGCCATCATCTTCAAGTACGTTGCCTCTTCTACTCCTGCCATCATCCTCTACGCGTTTTGAATTATTTTTTGCCTGCAAGTTGAATCAATTGCGGAACACAAACCTCTTCATAAAAGCCACTTTGGATTTGTATGAAGTATATAAGTTGTATTAGCAGTTCAACCATGCTCCTGTTTTATTTTTCTAGATAGGATAATCTGATAGGTCTAGAGTATTTGCTGATGTATTTATTTCTCTGTTTTTACATGACTTTTAGATGTACCAAAGCATATAAGGTGTTCGACGAAATGTTTATATGAGAAAAGCATATTAGTTTTTATAGTTCACCTTATGGGTTTTAGTTTTTATTTAGTTTACATGATAAAATAACTGAATGTGATGTATTTTGTGATAGAAAAACATAAGGGAAAAGCATTTAGTAAAGTAGCACTTTTGTGAAATCCAATATTTTTAAATTTTGTAGAGTAGCACTTGTATGTTTCTCCCCTCAATTGGACTATAATGGCCTAGCCTTCAACTTTCCTGGAATTGATAATGTTTGTCTCACAACTTTTAAATCAGGAAAATATAAGATGTAAGTTTTACTCCGCAAATTCCAGTGGGCATAGTTAAAAGAGGTGACATCACATCTCAAGTGAAGTGCTGACGAATGATTGAAATTTAAAAGCAAATTTCACAACAACAAAAATTCTAAAGCAAAATGAATTCAGTTTGATTCATGAAAGCCGTGTGTGAAATGTGAATCACACCCTGCCAAAAGAAAACAATAGCTTGCAAATCTTTTGAAAAAATAATCAGACGATTTGACACTCATAAACAATTCATTTTATCAAGAAGTGACAAATTTAGTCTACATGATATTGGATTGAAAAAAACATCCCAACAGTTAAGCCTCTCATATGGAATTAGTCTGGATCCAGTTTACAAATCTTTTGAATGATAGTTAGCTTCTATCATGGGGTTCCTGAATTTGAATGTGATAAATTAACTTCAAAATGTAGTAAATGGAGCCTGGAATCAGCGTATCTGATACAAAAGGAGTTCAGCTTGGTTCATGTATAAAATCCATGTATGATTCATACTCGGCCAAAGGAAAGCAATAGCTAACAATTTTTATAAAAAAAATCAGACTCTTAACAAAAACATAGTCTACTTGGTCAAAGAAATGCTCTTTGATTCATGAAAGGCATGTATGAATCAAACTCTGCCATAGAAAGCAATAGCTTGCAATTCTACTGAAAAATTAATAAGTCTACTTTACATGAACAAACAAATTCATTGTATGAAAAAGTGACAACTTTTGGTTGTTATAGTAGACGGAATTAGAAATTTAAGACTAATGCTGAATAAAGCAGTAGCTAACCTTAGTTTCAACTGAACAACATTGGGTTGATTCCTTAGTTTCAACTGAACAACAACATTGGGTGGATTCTTGATGGTATTTTCCCTCATTTTTTGCATGAGTGTTAGGTACTTAGGTCTACCAAAGCATATAAGGTAAAACGTATAGCATAGAGGTGATATCACTTGCTTGATTCATGAGTTTCCAAGTACACAGACAAAGAAAGTAATAATTACTAATTTTAAGATTTGAGGTAATACTTATGGTTTGAATTGTTGAGTTCACTTTATTGAGTATTTTTGCTCAATTTGATATCACAGGGATTGAAAACTATTGCTTGGGCACATATATTTGAGTAAAAGTATATATGCCTAACATAAAATCCATTTGAAATACATTTTCCTGAACAAAAAAAATCCTTTGCCTGAAATCCTGAATCCTCAACTTTGTGGAAGTGCATGTAAATAAAAATTGGCCAAGAGTTTCCAAATCCTCAACAGCCATTCTCATTGTGAATTTAATTTTATAGTACTACTACAATCGAAAGAGGGCCTCCTGAGAAACAACTTGCTTAGAAATATGAATTCATGACTAAGAATTAGTATATGTATATATAGGACCCCCAATTCAAAGCAGAGTTACTTTAGGCATATAGGGAGTGATAGCTCTCTGTAAATATAATTCAACTCATTTCTTTTATTTTTATCTTTATTTTTTCCTTTATGATCCTTTTTCATCTTTATTTCTTAAAGAACTCCCAACAGTTTCTGTCTACACACTCTTTCATCAAAGCGCTCTCGCTATCTGAATTGTGTTTCCAGTTTCTCAAAAGTATTGAGACGTGATTTTCTGGAATCTGAAAGTTAAGTGATACCGAATTGGCAATATTCTATGGATAGAAATGACAATTACTTTTATTATTTATTTAACAAAAATGAAGAGAATCATTGAACCCCAATCATTAGTATACATGAAATTGGGGTGACTGAGCTGTTAATACTATTCCAATTGTGTTTTTGAGTGATCATGCAAAATATATTATTCACCAGGGAGAGCAAGAAATTGTTGTCAAGCTAGGATTGTTGTAGAATATAATAGTTATGATACACTTTTCATCGTTCTTTTATTTTACCAGCATTTAACCTGACACATTTTTGAACACAGGAATCCAAATATTTCAGAGTTGGTACAATTTTAAAATTCGTTGCAAGGCGTGATGGAGTTATGCCAGTTGCTCTAAATGCAATGTAAAATCTCCTGTGGAGATCTAATTCGCCGTTCACCTGTTCATGTGATACTTGAAAACCAGATGATTGGGGTAGGTTGACAAGGATATTCCTATATCATAAGGCCAAGTTCACATTGATAATGTAAATCATAACTAACTTGCATTGATTAGAATCCACAGATTTGCTTTACATTTCTTATAAGTTAGAATTTTATTTGATTTATGTATTTGAAGCAGACGTTTTCTACTAATTCAAATGTCACAGTTTTAAATGCCACATACATCCTCTGGATAAGAGAACACTTTGTATAGTCCTCCTTAATTTATACGTAGTACAAATTAAGTTACTAAGGTTGGGTAATAGAACAAGGTTGGGACTCATGGATGAGTCAGATTCAATGCATGCCATTGCTGAAATTAAGCAGGGTTCTAGCTCCTCTTGCTCTGGATGGTAAGCTGAAGATATTAGAGATATTTATATGGATTTCACAAGCGTTAGTTTCTCTCATATCAGGCGTTCTACCAAAAAGGGTGTTCATGCTATAGTAACGGCGGCAGTTCCTATGTTTGAACGCTGTTTTTGGTCATTTTATTCTCCTAGCTGTATTACTTGTGTTCTTAGCAATCACTTGAAAGAATTGATCTATAAATGTTTAGAGCCACTTTTACTGATGTTCTTAGCAATCACGTGAAATAATTGGTCTATATATGTGTCATTATCAAGGAAATAAACCGACTCAAGAACTTCTTACATCATGAGCAGAAAAACTCATTATACACTATTAAGAATGGTGTCTTTAAAGAGATTTTCCAAAACATTTAACAAGTAAGCTTAATGTTTTATTACGGAGTATATGTTACCGATGGCATTAATTAATTAGTAGCAAAATTCTAATAGATGTCAATTAATTTACGTAATACTCTTTTATCTTTAGGATTTAATGTACTTATATTTAATGGTACTAGCTCACTATATATAATCACATTTTTGAAATAATGCTAAAATATTATTTTATTTTTGTATTTAATTAGATTATGAATACAAATATATACACACCGGCACTTTCCTGGCACTATATCTATTTTATACTCTCTCCGTCCCTAAATAAACTTCTATTTCACTTTTCGAGGATCAACTTAAATCACACTTAAACTATTACTTTATATATCAAAATTTTATAAAAATTGAATTTTTTTTAGAGGCTTTGTAGCGGTTTTAATTTAGTTTCTGAATATGTAAATTTTATTTACTAAAAATAATCCGATAATTTACATGGATCATTTAACTCTATCGCTGGTCAAACTTTGTAACCCGCAATCGGAAGTTTTATTAGGGACGGAGGTAGTATATAAGAAAAGAAATAGCTCATAAAAATATAATTTTATCCTTAATGAAACCTATGTGTCATTTTCCCCACAATTCACTCCTCTACCTATAAATGACACATGACTAATTGAAGGATAATATCGAACAACCAAATTCAAAGGAAGGGAAGCATTTATATATACCAAGAAAAGAAACGTACGTGGTATTCTAAACAGTAGACTATTTACATATGTAGTGCTTTTAGATATAATAAACCGGCTAACATTTGAACGGGAAAAATTTCTCTCTCAAATTTAGTATTTTTAGATATAGCAAGATAAGTTTGCTAATAATTGAACGGGGTGAATTTTCTCTCATATGTAGTGCTATTAGGTATATTACAAGATTACAAGATAAACTTGCTAAAAATGGTGTGGGAAAATTCTCATACACGGAGTATGTAGTTATAATAAGTACATAATAAGTGTAATGATTCATACATAGTGCTGGATAACAATTGCTTATCTTTTCTTTCTATAAGATAAGCATGCACGATAACAAAGTATAAATTTTTTCAATTCCCATATATAGTGCTTTTAGGTAT